AAAAAAAAGATTTAAGAAGAATCTGTATCAAAGGAAAAAGACAAAAACCACCTTTTCTGCCCCTGCCTCTTTGCATAATCCAGCCGTTTCCCGAAGGGCCATTTCATCGCGTCCGCTCAATGACAGTGCATAATGCTCTTTAGAAAGACGTATGCTGACCGCCCTTCCAATTCCCGAGGAGGCCCCTGCACAACCATAATTATTTGATGGTTTAAGAATATATCGGAACAAATCACTTTCACTCGCCTGTCACGATGGCAACTTTCATAATAGAATTAAAACCCTAAAAAGAAGTTTAATTTACAACTTGCTTTGCTTACACAAGAGAATAAAAGCGACAGATAAGCAATCAAAAGTATGAACACCTTTACTGCGCAAATACACAAGTTTGTAAGAAATTTATGCAAATATACAGTATGAAAAGCGTATTATCGCGTACACGTGCACTATCCCAAGCATTCCTAACAACTTCCCTTGCAAAAACTTTCTCAATAGGCAAGTTATCAGCGAGGAAACATGATTCCTCTTCCACCATCAACACGAAGGAGCTGGCCTGTCGTAAATGAGCTCCTGTCAGACGCTAAGAACAGAATAGCTTCGGCAACTTCTTTAGGGTCGCCTGGCCTTCCCAATGCGTGAGTAGTTTTGCTTCTCTCCAAGAACTGAAGAAAAATGTGCAACTATCTTTAATTGAAAGTTGAAAAATTTAAATATTGTTTATTTTCAGCTTACCGCAGCATAAGCTTTCTCATCTTGGCCAGAACGTCGATGAAGATTTGTGACTGTAACTCCCGGACTAAAAAATACACCTTCAACTAAATTAGATAGAAGACTTCCTAACAATTACAGTAGTTTAAAAAATTCTGCAGAATTTTGCAAGAACTGTCCAAGTCGCTGGGTCAAGATTATAGAAATGAGAAAAACTAACTTGACCGCATTCACTCGCACACCGTGTGGCGCCATTTCTAAAGCTAGACATTTTGTAAATTGATCTACTGCAGACTTAGACATGCAATAATAGGCAACGCCAGGAAACTAAAAGCGACTATGATCAAAAGGGAAGGCACTAATGTGCACTGAGAACAAAAAAAAATTACCGGACAGGGCCCGTTTATACTGCTAACGTTGACAACGGTGCCCTTTGTCTTGATAATATGTGGAAGTGCTTCTCGAGTGAGACGTACAAGGCTGAAGATTAATATGGAATGATATACTTCAAGGAGTGAACTCAACTATAAAACGAACCATCTTACATTGATGTCGAAAAGCTCATCGTATACAGATATATCTGAGTCAAGAACGTTGCCCGATCGAAGGATACCGGCCGAATTGATCTACCAAGTAAAAGAAATGTAAATGCTATATAAAAAAGCGCAAGCACTTTGCATTCAACGATGTATCGAAAAATTCCGAGAAAAAAAAAA